CGCCCCCGCCGCTGACACCCGGTAGCGCGAACACCCGACGCCGCTCGCGACGGGCGCGCGGACGGCAGGTCTCCGAGGGACGCGGCTCTTGGGGACGCCGGCGCGACTGGCCAGAAGAGGGAAGGTGAGGCGGAGGACTGGAGCGGGGGCGAGCCGGGGTGGGGACCCACAACTCGGGACAGCCAGACTCGGCATACCTGAGGAAGTTTGCTCCCAGCTCCCGCAATAGCCAGGGGACCCAGGCGGGTGACACCTGGGGAATGCTCGCCAGCCTTCCCAGGGGCTGGAAGACACCTCGAAAGTGTTTCCTTCACCCCTGCAGAGGGCTGCCCCAAGTCGCCGCTCCAGGCGGGGTGCAGTGCTGGCCGGTACAAAGAAGGAAAAGAGGAGCTCCTCTCGCGGCGCTACCCCGCAGCAGCGCTTCAGGGAAAGTGCTTGGGAGACCGTTCCTGGAGAAAGCGATCCACAGCCAGTCCTAGAAAACGCCCACGGTTATGGACCCGACCCTGCTCTAACGGGCAACCAGAGACTGGCTGTGCCTTTACCGTCAAGTCCTTTAACGTCGTAGCATAGACGACCTAGCGCTGCAGCCCTGGGCGTGGCTAATGCTAAGGTCACAACTCAAATTTGTGGGGGTCTTCCTCCCCTCTTGCCTGGTATTTAAGCCGTGAGACACAGGTTCTGCGACTGAGCCAATTCTTCGGTGTAAGGAGATTTGCCACTGAATGATTTATCCGTATCCTTTTAAATAGAAAGCTGCCTGGGTAGACGTTAACTAGGATTCGCTTCACCGAGACGTTTTATTTGCTCAGTTTTTAATTTCAGTTGTTCTATGCAAAATGTGTCTGTAGATCACTTGGGTCCCTGCAGGATTAGCGCATTTCGGTTTCTTGTAGGAACCCCTAGTAAGGGAAGGGTGGGCTCCTGCCGTGGAGTGCTAGGACCAGGCCAAGAATGCTGGATTCCCTAAGAAGGAATGTGATAGTATCCACCTCTGAGTTGGGTACTGGTGAGCGGATAGATACTGGTGCAGGTGGGCAAAGAGGTGGACTGTCTGTAGGTTTTATACACCACCAAGTCTTCACAAAATACCCCTGAAAAATACCTGATGGTGGTGTTCTCTAGAACATCCTTCCCCCTTGTGGATGGCAGTTTCTCCCCACCCCATTCACCACCCTTAATCCTGACCATCCATCAGATTGAATTTTGTTGTTGCTGTGAGTCCTTCTTCCCCGATACTCCACCTGGAACTACCATCCTCCACCTGTTCTGAATCCCACAGCATTTTGCTTGGCCAGGCCTTTCTGCTCTCTGCCTATGAGAGCTATTTATGTAGACGGTTCATTTCCCCTACCCAAAGCGGTGACTGTCACCTTTAGCACAAAGCTTGCACCCAGAAGATGCTTTAGAAATAACTGTGGGCCCATAGTAAATGTCAAGATTTTAGTTTTACAACGTAAGTCTCTACTTTAGAAAAGGAACTATACAATCAAAAGAATCAAGAGAAATGTATGCTATTGCTCATCGGGAAAGTCATGACGTGTTTTTCTGTTTTTCTATGCAAAAATGCATCATGACTTCCCTGACAACCCAGTATTTACCATTAGCACTAGTCTTCATTTCCAGTCTCACAGGGGAAATTTTCTTTACACCCAGGAGTTGTGCCTAACAATCGTCTTTGGTTCATGCCTTGGGAGCAGATAAGAAGCGAGATTGAGATTGAGATGGAGGGTCGTTCTCCCTCCAGGGTTGACCTGTGTCATTAAAAAAATTCCACTCAAGTGGGTTGTGGCGCAGCTAGATTCCAGTGCAGGTGGTTGGTTTTCTTTTTCTATTTGCAACTGTTCTTAGTCACATTCTTCTTTGGGCTTTTGTTGTATGCTTGAAACAATTCCCTTGATGATGTGCAGTTTATTACCTATGATTTTCTAAGCGAATAAAGGAAGAATTAGAAGAGCTATGCATGGAACATGAGTTTCCTATGGCAGGAGAGCAGAGAATAGTTGCCATGCTGGGCAAGAGGATGGATTTGCACAGAGCAAGACTGTTCTGTGTGTGTGTGTGTGTGTGTGTGTGCTCGTGTGCACACGCATACCTACGTGAGTATGGGCAGTCTCTGCCTTCCATGCACTTGACTGACAAGCCAACATAGGACAACAACTGTTGTATCCTGCTCCTTCTTTCTGCCTGGGCTTTCTTTTGCTTCAGATAAACAACATCAACAAAAACAATAACAACAAACTCTGAGCTTCTGAGTGCGGAAGGAGAAGCTGGGAAAAGCGGTAACATGCGATGCTCTGCTAGGCTGACCCACACCGCAGGCTCCTGGTTTGAGTCAGAGGAACTCTCTGCTTCTCTTTATCTTTCATTTCAAAATGAAAAAGCTTGGAACATTGTGATTTTCCTAAGTTGGGCTACAAAACTTGGTGTGAACTGATGTAAAGTTCTGCTAGTCTTTGTCTCACCTGGAAAGAGCCAGGCACGTATTTTTTACTTCAGAAATAACAGCCAGCTCCCACTTAGGTAATATAGGGCACAAACACGCTCTTACTTTATAGAATCAAAAACACTTCTGAATCCTGACTTCTCCGGTTTTAGACAAGGGAGTGTGGTCTTGCCCACAATGAAGATGGAACAGTTGAGGCACTGAAAGGTTAAGAAAAGTCATTCAGCAAGAAAGTACCAGAGTCCAGTTCAGACGTTCAGACAAAGCAGGCTGACTCCAGAGTCCATTTTTCTTTCTTTCTTTCTAATTTGCTAGAGGACCTGTGCACTCACTGGAGAGAGACAGAGAGAGAGAGAGATAGTGAGAAAGCATCCTCCTCCCCCATAGGAGTCGATCATGCTGCAATCCCATGTGGGATCCAGCCACCTTAAGTACCCCACCACTGGTTGGCCCCAGAATCCATTCCCTTAACCACTGTGCAATACTGCATCAGTCTAGGGCTTATGATCCCCCTTGGGTAAAACCTAACAGTCTTTTTTTAAAAAATTATGTTATTTAACTTTATGTATGTATTTATTTAAATTTGACCAGAGTGGGACAGAGTGAGACAGAGAGAGGGAAAGTGAAAAAGCAAACCGCCAGGTCCAGGATTCCAACCATGGTCAGCAATGTGGGAGTCCAGCACCCTTAACTATCATGCCACCTGCCATCCCCAAAATGTGATAGCTTTAACTTAGCTCATTAGAAACTTTCTGACAGGCTAAACTCCTTAGCAACTGAGGTTTTGAAATGCTGCAGATAGGTAAACCACCATACTAGGTGTGCTCAACAATTGTTTAATATGCCCCCTTTGCACCCTGTGCCATCCACACTTTTAAAAAAGGTTATTATTTATTTTGTGAGTGAGAGAGAGACAGAGAGAGATACAGAGCCCCCAACAGGTCTAGACTCCATAATCCACCCCCATCTTCAGTCAGCCTGAATTGTGGCACACAAGTGCTTAGCATTCTCATATTCAGGGCCCCCGATGTAAGCCAGTAACCTTCCCATGTGGGTCTCCCTCACAGTGTTGTGTTTTATCACCGTGCTACTGTCTGGCCCCCACACTTTATTCTGAGCCATTCACCATAAGTACCGGTAGGAAAAGAGGTGGCTCACTGTGGGTGCTGGATGTACTCCTGGGCCCTGGTTGACATCTGTGACATGTGAGGGCTTACATATATAGAATTTTGTGAGGCAGAGGGTGAAGGATGGCTTGATCCTGGTGTAGACTAACTGTTGACCGTTCTGATGGCCCACCAGGGTTTAAGCCTTCCTGACATGGTTTCAGAGGGTCTGTATCAATCTGACTCAGTTGAAAGTTTCTCCAGTTTCTCTTTTATTTTGAGAGGTGGG